AGAAAAGAGGAGGTAGCCGAGGGGCGTCAGTCATCTTTTGAATTTTTGATACGCCGCCTCATGGAAATGGAGAAACATTTGCTCGTTCCATGGGATATCCTCTGGGAGATATCGACATAGGAAACATTGAGGACTTGAAGAGTTGATCGGGTGGAAAAAGTGGTAATCACTCCTCGTGAGGAATACTTTGCTTTTTGGGGGGAGATGTTTGTCACTCGGGAGGAGATAACACATCTCTGTTTGGAGTTGTCGACCGCCAAAGAAGGCTTTGTCGTTCAAGTGAGGGATAGTTAGAATGACCTTTTTAGGTTATGTGGCTAATTTATGTATGGAGATTGCTTAGCTGAGGATTTGTCTCGAATGAAGCGACAATCGATCATTTAGTTTGATTTATTCTTTCCTTTTTATTTTCGAGGGAACACAAGTTACAACACATAAAACCCTCCAGTAAAGTGTGTTCACATCGCATCATTGTCTTGTAGGTGGCGTTTCGTCTTCCCGCACCTTTCCCCACATATATATGCATGCATGTTGGGAACTTTTATCCTTTTTTTTTTCTCTGCGCTCTATTACTTACCTCTCCCTCTTTTTTTCTCCTGATGCAATAGCTCAGGTTCCATGGCATGGAAGTTCTCCCATGAATCGTTTGGTTAGATTCCAACTTCAGGGATTTCATTCACTTTTGCAGTGGATTTGAAGAAGGCTCAAGATCTCTACGATTTTGATTCTTCTATTCACCTTTGGATGACAACTAGACATGAGCGAGTCACGGATCACTCCTCTCCTGACTTGGTTTTCTACAAAGATAGTTTAAGATGGATCTTTGGCTTTTGGCTGCCATTTTGAATGGAGTTGTGGTTGATTTTCATCCGGTACGTGGTTGTCCCCGCCCAGGTTCTCTCAAATTCAGTAAAATTCAGTGGCTCCTATGTTGTCCTTTTCTGTCGAAGGATGAAGATTTTCTAGTTGATCGAACTATTCAATCATTTCTTTTCGTTCAAGATTGACTGTGATGGTTACATTCAATTCACCGTTGGTCCCAAGATCCATCTGCTGGGCTTTGAAAATAAAATTAGAGATTATAAAACAAAATTTTTGTTTGGCTGTACATGAACGTTGAACTGAACAAGCCACTACTTAAAGACTTCTTGTATACATATCTAAAGAAAAGTAAAACAAAAGTGAAGACGACAAAATAAATTTGTTCATACCTACTTCAATGGCCTTAATTTATGCATCACAAATTAAATTTTAAAAGTAGTGAAAAAATTCGTGTATTTCAATTATTAAAAAAAAATTGTGTTCATCCATCGCCCCATATTTAAGCAGCCAGTTTTCCCTCTCAAGGAAAAAAAAAAACTTTAATCTTTATAAAACGCTGATCATTTAAGGTCATGCGAAGCAAATTTAACTGTTAATTAATTTTAGAAAACACATTCTAAAATTTTTTTAAAAAAAATAATTTATTAACCATTACTTGATAAAACCATATTTAATTTCCCATTAACCAGAAATCAAACAAGCCCTTAGCTGAAACATCTTATTTAAAAGCTTACAATCTCATCTATACATGCAGATCAACTAGTCCCAAGCTACATTATTATAGACCTTACAATCAGAAAATATGAAGTAAAACCACACATTCGATCACGACTTAATTCTCTGGCTACTGCCTCCTCACCAGCAAGGAGTTAGAGCAGTCACACAAGCCCTGATCGGACTGCGTAACTATTCGATGGAAGCTCCTATGACATCCGCAGGCCGCACACTTGAGCCCATCTTCTCCTCCTGCCATGAACTCCCTGCATCCATCCAACACATATCCGCCTGCACTCGCTGCATGGTTCTTCCTGCACTCGCCGTAGCTCTCCGCGACACTGAAAGCCCGTTCACATCGTCGGAGCACCACGCACAGCTTCTTCATGGCGGCTGCTATCTGAAAGTTGGCCGCTTTGATCGCTCTCTTG